CCCACGCACCCCCAGCCCTCCCTTCTGCATTTGAGGTCTGCAGGGCCGAGAGTGGGGGTCCTCCCACGCACCCCCAGCCCCCCCTTCTGCATTTGAGGTCTGCAGGGCCGAGAGTGGGGGTCCCCCCACGCACCCCCAGCCCTCCCTTCTGCATTTGAGGTCTGCAGGGCCGAGAGTGGGGGTCCTCCCACGCACCCCCAGCCCCCCCTTCTGCATTTGAGGTCTGCAGGGCCGAGAGTGGGGGTCCCCCCACGCACCCCCAGCCCTCCCTTCTGCATTTGAGGTCTGCAGGGCCGAGAGTGGGGGTCCCCCTACGCACGCCCAGCCCTCCCTTCTGCATTTAAGGTCTGCAGCTTAGAGAGTCCTACTATGTGCACCTGCATTTGGAAGAAGCCGGGAAAAGCCCACGTGAGTTTCGGAGAGGCAGGGAAAAGTCCACGCGCGTTTCGGAGGAGATGCAGGGAAAAGCCCACGCGCATTTTCGGAGGAGAGGCAGGACACGTGTCCGGCCACCCTACCTGCAAGTGGGTGCCCTCACTGCCAACTGCGCCAGTGCGCTGAGGAGTTGGGGGTTTTCCACCTGTGCAGCGCTCACCTGGGCACGTGTCCCCTGACCCTCTCCGACCTTGTTCCCCAAATAGGGTTCCACGTCCCCCAGGGCACCGGAGCCAAGGCCATGGCACGGGCTAGCAGGGCGCCCCCCTGGTGCAGGATTTGGGGTGGGTTTTAAGGGGCTGCAGTTAAGCGTCCACAGGAGTTCCCCCCAAGGGGCATGTCAGGGTTTAAACTAGGCCTGGGCCTTGGTAGAGCCCAGACAGGACCGGGCGCGGTGCTTACAATCGCCCTACCCTCCCAAGCAGGGACTTGAAACAAACTCCAAACCCCTAGGCACTGTGGCGGGCGAGCATCATCTGAATACCTAAATTTTTAAAACCTTACTGAGCCCTGCGTGGAGGCCCAGGATGCGGTCTGTCTCGGTCAAGGTCCGAGGAGCACTTGCAAAGAATGTGCATTTTGCTGTTGGGTGGAAAGTTCAGATCCACCAGTTCTGCTGGTGGACAGTGTGGTGCCAATCCCCTGTCTCTTTACGGGCTTTCCACCTGCTTGTGCAATCGGTTCGTGTAAGAGGGGTATTGAAACGTGGGTCTGTAATCGGGCATTTGTCTTCTAAGAACTGCCGTTTTTTAAGTTCAGCCACCAGTTGCGTAAATGTTTTCCACCCTGATGCCGCCTTAATGACGTGGCCTCTTGATCGTTATGAGATGACCTTTGTCCCCGCCTCCCCTTGGCCTGTGGACGCACCCCTCTAATCTCTGACTCAGTCTGCGTTAGCAAATGCCCCTGGCCTTTCTCTTATGGGGACACCAGTCCTCGCAGAGCACGCTCCACCCTGCAGTCCAGGACAATCTCACACCAAGATCTCTCACTTAGTTACAGACGCAAAATTTCCAAAGAAGGTCACATTCGCAGGTTTGAGGCATTAGGACTTGGGGTCATAACCTTTCAGGGACTGCCCTTCAACCCACTGAACGTCCCTGCAAAAACTTCCACGCACGTGTTTATGGCAGCCTTGTCTGTCACCGCCGAGAAGCAGACACGACCCAAGTGTTGGCCATCAGGTGAAAGAATATACGAATGTGTCCCTCGCCGTGGAATCCTCGGCAATAAAAGGGAATGAGCTACTTCTACGCACAGGAACCTGGGCGAGTGTCAACGTAATCAAACTAAGTATGAGACGCCAAACAAACAAACCAAAGGGTATTTAGCGTGGGCTTCTCCCTATACGAAATTCTAGAAAATGTAACCCAGTCCTTAGTCACAAAAAGCAGACAGAGGGGTGGTTTCCTGGGGCCAAGAGATGGAAATGCATGGAGGGAAATGAATACAAAGGGAGCCAGGAGATTTCAAGTGACAGATATGTTCATTTTCTTGATTGTGGCGATGGTGACGGTGTTCAGGATGTCTGTATATGCCAAACTCACCAAATTGTGCACCGTAAGTGCGGTTTATTGTGTTTTAATTATGCCTCAATAAACTCAAAAGTAACAGAGGCGTCCCGCAATGCTGGAGTCGCCTGTGGCCACTCTCCCTCTCCTCGGTTACCGTCTGCCTTTGTCTGTCATCCTGTGCGCCGAGGGAAACTGCGTGTTAGGGGCTGCACCACCTGGGTGTCCCTGTCCTCTGTCTTCCAATGCGAGTCAGCCAGTGGACGCGGGGAGACGGGGTCAGGGCGTTATGGACCCTGTTTCTCTGTCCTTCTGGAAGAGCCCCTGCTGCAGAGCCTGGTTCTGATGAGGCTCCTGCAGGCTGTCTCCCTCTAATGAAGCAATAACTACTCTCTGGTGTCCCTTGTCTTCGTGTAGTTTATCATCCCCTATGGAGCCCTTACATCTTCCCACACGGCTCCAAACAGTGCCTGCCTTCACCTCCTTTTGATATCTCTCCTCTCC